TCTGAAGATCACTAGCCTATACATGTGGAGGGGGGAGGACAAGACAGAAGCTGCTAGAAATGATCTTCAATACTCCACCCCAAAATATTTTCCTGACAAACTCTCCTGAGGATCTAAAATTACCCACCATTGGAATCATTATTTCAGTTTCAGACATTGTTTTCCTACAGTTTTTGTTAAATGTGTAATGGCAAAGGTGATTTGACATCAGATTAGGATTTGCAGGGAATGTACAAAAGGACAAATGTATTTTTTACTGTGGAAAAAAGATGGTGTGGAGGTTATGAGGGACAAACTCAGGTACATCCTGAGTTCTATTCCCTGCTGTTCATACCATACTCTGTGTATCTGTAAGATACTTCTGTGGGCAATAACTTGTCAAACTTCCACCAAAAAGGAACAGAAAAGGGGCACTATAGTGATCAGGCTGTTTATTTCTATACCAGGAAGTATATAAAGGATTAATTATTGGCTGGGCCCGGTGGCTCACGCCTGTAATCCCCAGCATTTTGGGAGGCCAAAGCGGGAGAACTACTTGAGCCCAGGAGTTGGAGGTTACAGTGAGCTATGATTGCACCCACTGCACTCCCACCTGGGCGACAAAGCAAGAGCGTCTCAAAAAAAAAAAAAAGGATTATTAATCATAGGAATAGACCATCAATTGTCACTTACTGCCTACCTAAACTGAGAACTCTGGTCCCAGTCCCACCTCTAGAAAGAAATGCCCAAGATGGGGAAAAGGGGATGTCTAAAATTTAAAGGGGGGCTTTCCGGTTAAGCTCTTCAGACAAGGAGGAGAGGAACAGGATGCCTGTGCTCCGAAAGGCATCTTCAACTACCATAGGCCCCAAACCCAGTACTTTGTAAATGTTTCTAGTTTGCTTCCTTTTAAAATTATTTTTATTAAATTGTTGGAGAGGAAGATACTAAAGAAATGAGTTGAAATCTGGAAGGGTAGAGAGGGCAAAGTTTCTCACTTTATTCCCCCAGGTACCCTGTTCCTCCCCTAAGAGGCCATCTTTACCAGTTCCTTATCAAATTCCCCTTTTTCATTTAATTTTATACCTAAAGCTCACTCCCTTTTAATTTTCCCTCAGGTTTCCGAAAATTCCCCAATCGCAGCCCCTCCCTGCTACGAAGTGGAAATAGTCAAAGGGCTTGGTTTTGATCACCTTGAAGCAAGCCCACGAGAGGGAGTAGCTGGTTTTGAGGCCGGGGGTGGGGCTGACGGAGAATGAGAGTGAGAGAACCCAAGAGGACCGTCAGGGCGCCCTCCCTAAGCAGGCAGTCCCTCACTGCTCCTCCGAGTCGTCCTTTTCAATAAGGAGCTATTAATACCTGCAATTGCTTCCTTCAAAGTGTGGCTCGAAGATCAGTAGGCAAAACTGGCGGACCGCGCACTTTAAAGCGCTTCGGGACCGTAATGTACAGTTCGTGCAGAGGGCGCGCCGCGGCGGCCGGAGGAGAGTCGGCAGCCCCAGCGCGAGCAGTGGGGACACGCGGGAACGGCTTCCTTCACACCCTGTCCCTCCGGTCCTCCCCGCCTACTTCTGAAGCGCACCTTCTGGCCTGCCGGCCGCAGACGAGACGGCGCGGAGCCCTCAGGGCCTCCCCGCCCCAGCCTCAGGTCTCAGGTGGACCGAGTTCCCGGGCGGGACAGGTAGCGGCTCCCAATAGCTACAGCGACGCCTGGGCTCGGAGCCGCGCCCCGGCCCTGACCCGGGCGTCGTGACGTCATCACGCCCTCCCTGGGCGCTCGCCCTCGCGGGCCGTGCGTCACCCCGGCCGGGGGACGGGGCGGGGCTCCGAGCGGCTCGGTTCAGATCCCAGCCGCCAGGGCTTCGGGGGCCCCGGAACCAGGATAAGTGGGACGGCCGCCGCGGCGAAGCGGGGGGCGGGGTGGAGCGTGCCCTGTATTTTCTATACGGGTTCCGGGGCCCGGTAGAGGCGTTCCGAGAGGAGAGGAAATTGCGGCCGCCCTGGAACCTGGATATCGCGCGAGGCAAGCTGCGCGCGGGCGGGCGGGCTATGGCGCAGGCGGGTTGCGGGGCCGGCGCTGGTGGCGGGGCCCGGTGCATGGCGGTCTGTCTGCGGAGTCGCCCTCGGGGGCTGTCAGGTTGGTGGCTGCGGGAAGAGTGGGTCCACTGTGTCCAGGGTGGGAGGCTGGGCGGGCGCAGGGCCCTGGAAGGTCCCGAGCCCGGCGTGCCCACCCGCCTCCGGTCCCAGCCGTGCGACCGGGCCGCTGGACGGCGGCCGGGCCCCTCCCCCACCCAGGGACCCTGCCCCTCCATTCAGCTCTGCGACTCCTCCCCCATGACTCCCAAACCCCACCCCGTGACTGCGTCCAGCTCCACCTCTGTGACCCCACCCCCACCCACTGACCCCAAGACCTCACCAGGTAACCCTTAATTGTTACTCATTGACTGCTAATCCAGGAATTTCCCCAGCTCTTCTCGGGGACCCACCAACCCATTGACTCCCTCGCTTATAATCCAGTGACTCACATGACCCCAAGATCCCCACACTCTTTCTTAGTGACTCCCAAACCTCGGTGACCGCAGTGGCCAGTAACCCCAACGACTCTACGTTGTGTTCCCACAAACTCGGTGACACCGCTCAAAACTCTCCTGGCAACTCCTAAGCCATACTCCAGTAGTTTCCCACCTACTCATCAAAGTAACTCTCAGTATCTTTGCCCCATGACCCCATACCCTCGTTTCATTTTCTCCTTTCATCCTAAAATCACCTCCAGTGGCATCCCTCTGCACTCTCAGGCCTCCATTGTCAATCAGCACATGACTTACAAGTGCCCCAGCACCTTTCTGGTGCTAAGGAGGGTATAGAGAGAAATATGAAGTAGCAATAATTAGAGGCATCAAAGAATTGTGATAGAGTTTGTGGTCCCAGGTTGAAGTCCCAGCTCTGCCACTGTTGTGCTTTGGGAACCTGGGAGAAGTCCCTTCCTCACTCTTGGTCTCAGTTTCTCATCGTTATTGTGATGGAGTTGGGTTAGATGATCTCAGAGTTTCCTTCCAGTTGTGAAATTCTGCAATTTTCAGTCAAGATAATAATTGTTTCCAGTCATTTTTATACCCCACCCTACAAGCTTACTCTTGTTACCTCAGCCCAGGGCCCACTGGCTTCTTGAATCTTATTCCCTCATTCCCATGATGCCCTACACTCTCACTAGTGCATATCCATTTCCCTTGATCAGGCCCCATCGGTTAACATCTTTGGAAAGCAATATAGCAGAATGCTTCAGCTTGGGGCACTGACATCATAAGAAACCTAGGTTCCAGTCTGCCTCTGGCTCTTTAGCTGTGGGACTTTTGGCATACCATTTAGCCTGTCTGAACCTCAGTCTCCAACTCTGCTAAGGGAGGATAATAGTAGTGCCTAAGATAACACATGTAAAGCACTTGGCACCATGCCAGGCACGTGGGACTCCTTAAGTATAAGCTGTTGTTACTACTGAGAACCTCCTGTAGGTCTTACTCTGTCCTGGGCGCTAGGGATTCAACAGTGAACACATGGCCCATATTTTGCATTATCTTTCTTCTACTGACATCTTAGAATCCCTATCCTCTTATCTTTGCTGTGTCTTCACTATTCTGGTTCTTTACCCTGATATTGCCTTAATACTGTTTGGCTCACTGAACACCTACTGTATGCCAAACTTTGTATATTTTTAAGTTTACCTCTCAACAACCCATTAATTACCATTTCCCCTTCGCACTTTTTTTTTTTTTGGTTTGGTTTTAAATAAACAAACCAGAAACATAGCTAAGGTAGCAGAGCTTAGATTTGAACCCACAATCTTTAAAAAAACCCTTCCTTGTCTCTCTTGCTCCCAAACCTACCTGGTTTTCCACATCAGCCTCAGCCCCTTGTTCCTTATTTTCTAATAATTCCTACACTCAACATCAGCTCACTTAATGACCCTTTGTCCAATGGCTTGGTGACTTTTTCATCCTATTGTTTGTGACTTTTGACCCTGTATCCCCTGAGACCCCTGCATCTTATAGGGGAGGCAAAATATCTTTTTTAGGTTCATGGCTTAGGACCCTATAACAAAATACCGATTAACAAGAGAAAAGTATATAGATTTTCATAAGTTCCCCAACAGCTGGAAGCATACAGATTTAATGTAAGTTTTACATGACACAAGAGCCCTCATAACGAAATGAAGACCTGAAGAAATGGTTAAACTTGGTATTTTCGTGCTAGGTTTGATGAAGAGTGCATAGTTGTGGAAAAATACAACAGGGAAAAAAGGGTATGATCTAATGGTAATTAACTGGGGAAAACTTAGCAAGGCCTGTTTGTTCAGATTCTTCTCTGTAACCCTGTGTCTTTAGAGATGAGGTTGCTCCTTTCCTCTGGATATATAGTGAGGGCACCTGTCACATGAGGGTTTTATGACCTGCTTCAAGGGAGAAGGGCCAGGGAAAGTGAGAGTGACCTTCTTTCTTCTGTCATTTTCTCAAATTGCCATATTCTGGGGTAGCATGTCCTGAACCCAGTCAACCTTAATACCGCTCTTCATCCTTTGCCCTGATATCATCTCACTCTTGAGTCCTTGGAGCTCCCAGCCCTCACCCTGTGATCTCACTCATCATAAGGTGTCTCCCACCTCGCTAGCACTTTACCCCGAATCCTGTCATCTGGTTACGTCCCTTACTCCCAGGAATCCATGTGTCCATGTACTCTAAAATCCTTTCGCCCAGTCCTCTTTCATCCTGTGATTCCTTCCTGTTTTCATTCTCAGTGGTCTAGATCTCCCTGCACTTCTGCTGTACTCAGCTACATTCTGTTACCTGAAACCTTCATCTAATTAGCCCTTCATCTGGTGACCTCCTGATGTGCCCAGCTTCAGTGGAATGAGCCCCTTCCATCCTAACGTGAAGCCATCCTTCATAACCTATACACCCTCCCATTCTAAAATCTCTCACACCCCTGCCCAACATCCTATGAGTTCCTGCCTCTCAGATTCCTCCCTCATTTTCTTTTTTTTCCCTTTAAAAAGCTCTCTATTTCTGCCTAAGATTCCTTGCTCATTTTCATCAGTGATCACCAAAATCATCTTTCACCCTTCCCCTCTCCCTGTGTTTCAGTGCCTTCTCCTTCCTGCCTTCCTCTTTTTTGTTTCCCTAACCATCCTCTTCTCACCAATCTTGATAAGAAACTGATTACAATGTAAACCTCCCTCCCATCCAACCTCTGCGCCTTTCTTCCTCCACTGTCCCATGCCTCTACTTCAGAGCCACCTGAATGACCCTGCTGCTCTCATACATAGCACTGTCCATCCAAACCTCATCAGCCTCTTTGGTTTCTCCAGAGAACTACACTCTTCTCTAGAACTTCCGATGGCTTCTGGTAGTAGATCACCAAGATCTCAGTCCTTTAGGTAGCAAGGAGAGAACCCTAAGAAACCCTTCAGAATCTATCTAGCTGCCTCCTAGAAGCACTCCCACTATCCTATCCTGCTTATGAAACTGCTTGCTGCATATGCCCTCAGGGTGGAATGCTTTGAGTGTCAGCCTTTGCCGGCATTGAATTAGCTCCATTGTTTTCCAGTGCCCTCCCACAAAAGACTGGATGGTCAGTAGCAAAATATGACATTAACAGTCCACATCCAAAACTCTATTCTAGCTTGGTGAGCCTCACGCCTGTAATCCTAGCACTATGGGAGGCCGAGGCTGGAGGAGGATTGCTTGAGGCCAGGAGTTCGAGGTTGCAGTGAGCTATGATGACACCACTGCACTCTAGCCTGAGTGACAGAGTGAAAACTTGTCTCAAAAAAAACCCCAAAAACAATGACTAAAAAGTCTAATCCGTGGGTCACCAAATTCCCAGGGCTCCTATAATGTACTTATTGGCTGTAGAACAATAAATACAGCAGAGGGCAAAACTGGAGTTAAAGAAGGGGTATATACTGGCGTCTCTAACCTCTGTGGGTGGATTAAAGAAAAGGAGCTTTTGCCTTAGATTTGCTTAATTTTTCTTAGGGCAGAGAACATATTCTGCTTTGTATTTTAGTTATTTGTGTACTTCTCTCACCCCGCACCCTGTGACTTCCTTAAGAACAGAGGCTGGGTTTTCTTTACATTCTGTCATTTTAATCCTGTCCCTCATATTTAGCAGGTAGTCAGTAAATACTTACTGTGTTGAATTAACTTACTCAGAAATTCTGCATCAGGGACATTCAAGTAAAAACAGCTCTTGTCTACATTTGTTTTGTAGCCTCAACAACCCCCTCCCCAAAGCCCTCCAAACATGATAGTGGGCAAGTCCCTTGATTTAAACAGTGTGGAATTTAGACACTTCCTTTTTTAGTCATTGCTTGGGTGGAATGGGTATAAATGCTTTTTTTTTTTTTTTTTTTTTTTAACCATATTTCTGGTAAGACTAGAGAGATTGGTTGAGACAGTTGCTAGACGCAGTGGCAACAATGTCAGGGTCTGTCTTATATAGACCTGTTTTTAAGAAAACAGCTAGATGAAATATTTAGTGGAGATTACAGAGACAATTAGGGAATAGAGGAAACCAAGGTGGCAAAATGTTGGTAATTATTGAAATTGGGTAATAGATTCATGAAGTTCATTACTACTACTACTTTTGTACATGTTAGAATTCCATAACAAAAAGATTGGGGGCCACCAGGCATGGTGGCTCATGCCTGTAGTCCTAGCCCTCTGGGAGGCCGAGGCAGAGGGTCACTTGAGGTAGGAGTTCGAGACCAGCCTGAGCAAGAGTGAGACCCCCATCTCTACTAAAAATAGAAAAAAAATCAGCCGGGCATAGTAGTACATGCCTGTAGTCCCACCTACTTGGGAGGCTAAGGCAGGAGGATCCTGAGCCCAGGAGTTTGAGGTTGCTGTGAGCTAGGCTGACACCACGGCACTCTAGCCCAGGCAACAGAGCAAGACACTGTCTCAGAAAAAAAAGATTGAGGGGGCAGCTAGATGAACAAGTGCAATTCTAGTACTGTTCCTTGGAAAACATCTCAAAGCACCTCTGTTACTGAGTTAGTACTGTTATCTAGGTTAAGTAGTATACTTAGTCCTGACCTATCCCTGACCTCTTCTGTTTGTGAGATATCAGGATACCAAAATG